TATGTGTGCCATCACCTCTTCCAAGGTCACCCATATTTTTTCCTTGCTTTCATTGCTTTGATAATATCGCTCATGCACATTTCCAGTGAAGTACTACGGTTCTGGTTTGCACTGTATGTGCAGGAAAAAAAGTGTTTTGGAAAATAATACAGTTGGAGCAGAAACACTTTTAATATCGCGCAGTTTTCGTTAATTTGTTGACGTTCAGTGGGCTTCTCTGTCTCGATATCGATTCCGCATGGTCCTGTCGTTTTCTAGTTACAGGGTTGCAATCATGGCTGATACAAAGGCGTTGCCGGTGTTCGCGTTCACAGACGATCGGGTACAGCTGCAACAGCTACGCGGCTACATGAAAGAGCATGGTTCCTCAATCTGTGAAGATGGTTTGCTCACTTTTATGCATTTGTTTTTTAGTTATTTATACCTGAAATGGCGGCCCATCGATGTTTTTACGCTCAGTTTTTATTAAAATCTGGAATTTTTGGAGTGTCTTAGTACTAAAATAAAGTTTTGTCGTTTTTATTGGTTTGCAGGGCCTGCCGATTTCAATGAAAACTTGGAAGAGCTGGTGAGAACGGTATCGATTTTGGCTAAATTGGAAAACGAAAAGGAAGTGGAGATGATACTGAACTCGATTTCCTCACTTATTGTTGTGTTAACACCGGAAGCCGCTTACACCATTATCCGTGTTTTCTGCGATCAGCTCTGTGCCGAGTTTAAGGGCACTGGTTGGAATAGTAACGTGAGTTCTTCCTTCCTTCTCTTTCATTTGCAGATTTTGTTTTTCCGCTGAGTTTAATTTTTCGGACCATTATTTGACTATGCGAATTTTGTTTCACATATTCTGATTCCTTGTAAGGCGGACCCTGTGCTGGCGATTCCTAGCATCTTCTTTAAAACGTTAGTTTTTGCGTTCAGTGGGTTATTTCGTTGACGATGAGAAACATCGTGTAAGATGCTTGTTGGTTTTGGTTTGATTATCATTGACTGAATACTCTTCTGGTTCTATTCACTAATGAATCACGAGACAGACCGTGACGGTAGCCGATAAGGCGCTGGTTCTCGAAGTTGTCGCGTGCGTAGCTGAGGGAAGTGGGGAGGTGGAAGGGTCCGGAAAAAGCGATATTAGCATTGAGTGAGTTAGAAACATTTTGTTGAAAGTTACAATAGGTTTGCTTGGCGAAAACCTCTCCATTTTTACAAGTGCAGGACAAGAAGATCACCCTGTTCATATACTTAGATGGTGCAGCGGAACTATATCAGTCGAGCAGCAAGTGATTGTTCGAGTATAATTCTCATCAGTACCTTCCCCTCTAAGGGTTCCTCGCACAGAACAATCAAAACGGGTTATATTCTCGGAGTTTTTGAATGATTTTCAGGCAGCCTCAGCAGTACGGACATTATCGAATCTGTTTTTTGCATTTAACAAGCATGCCCGAGTGCAGCACATGCTATACGTTGCACTGGTGACGCTGTGCGGTCGAGCTCGCATCATCGGTGAT